TCACAAGTTTCACGGATATAGGCAATGGCAACTGTGACAGTAGTTTGTACTCAGAGCAGAGCAGTTCTAAGCCACTAGTCATTCAAAGAAGTAGCATAGTTGATGGCAAAAGGTGGTGAGAGCTCCTCACAGAATATTTCTTACTATAGTTAAAGCAGTTACTAAGGTCCACTTCTAAGTGTTTTGCAATATTTAAATATTAAAATGTTAAAGTAAAATTTTAGCAGAGGCTGTGACGTCTTCGGGACATTGGGCACTGATATTTGTAACACTCCCTATTCACTGGAACCTCTGCAGACCCGTCTTAATACTTTCTTCTGCATTCTGAAGAAAAGATACTAAGCCAGTTTCAGTGGCGTTTTCCATTACTTGCAACACAGGTCCCGACTGATATTACAAAAAAAACCCCCACTTAACCAATAAAGGGGATTTATTGGCTTATTTAACAGGAAAGTCCAGAGACAGTTCAGGCTTCAGGGTTGGTTTGATTCAAGGGCTCAATGATGTTGTTAAGGACATGTTTCTTCCTGTCACTCCTCTCTGTCTTTCATGGTGTCAGTTCTACTGTGAGGCTGGCTTCTCAAATGGTGTGTTACATTATATCTCACCTTTCAGAAGGAAAGAAAGAACTTCTTTCCCAGAAGCTTCCAGAAAACAATTTCTTCTCCAATCCCACTATCCTGAAATTGACCATATGCCAAGCCCTGACCTGTGGTCAGAAGGTACAATTATCCTCACTAGTTATATCTGGAAGAGGAGTTGGCCATAAAAGCCATATCCTGCACAAGGGAGGTGTGGTCAACAGAGCAAAAATCAGGGTCATTAACAAAGGGGAATTGTGCACAGATACCCATTATGCTGTCTATTTTCTTTTAGGTTTACAGGTAATATTCCTCCCTGAATTAGGATTCTGCAACATATAGCAAAGATATAGCTAAGAAGAAAATAAATATAGACCGGATGACATCACCTACTATAATGTTGCACTGTTGTTAAAAAATATTTTTCGTTATGTCCTTTCTCCTGTCTATGAACTCATGTTTCAAATCACATTTCTATTGATGGGCGAAGTTTCTTCGGCAGCTGCAGATAACTGCTCTGTTAATTAATCACCTTGAGGGCAGCCCAGTTCCCAGTCTGCATCTCAAGGATGCCTTTTCCTTTATCCTGGGAAAACGTAGTACTGTTTAGAGGCATAAGGTGAATTCTCGTTAGCTTGAAAATTCAATCTTTCTTTTCTTTATCAGAACGAAAAAATAAAGGCCTAGCGGCTAGAGTCTATTGTAGCCTTTTGCCTATATGCAAATTTAAAGTTCATTTTATCTTATGGCAGAAATACATCTAATTAACTTGGCATTCTTTCCTATGTAGCTTTTCCTGGAGGGAGATCTAGTTTGATTTATGATGAACACTTAATTAATAAGTTAATATCACTTCCTATATATGCTTTGTAGCTGTCCTATTAGAATAAGGGGGAAACGTCATAGTGAATTCTGCAAGTCCTTTGGTTATTTCAATCGCTCAAAAGAGATATTTACTATGTTCCCAGAAGTATGTTGGGCATTAAAGTGCAATGTATCATCCACGCCCTCCAGGAGGTCATCCAGCTGGGGAGACGAGCCTTGAACTTACAAAATATTTAAGGGACAGGGCAAAGCAGTATGGGATTAAAGATCAGAAGTAGTAGCGCTACAGAGAGTAAGGGTCACAGGAAACAGTGCAAGGATGGGGGGAGCAGGGAGAAGAAACAGTTCCTCTGAGAGGCTGAGGAAGATCCCTAGAAAAGGAGGGCTTGAGTTGGACCTTACAGAATACTTAGATTGGGTAGGTAGAGAAAGGATGTTCTGCGGATGGAGGGATTGCTGGGAGATAAAAATGAACATTAGTGTTTCAAAGACTGATAAGAACCTGTCCTTCTAAAGAAGGATCAAGGCAATAGTGAGAGGCAAGACTGGCTACACAGTGGGTCCAGAGTATGAAGAACCTTGAGCCCTGTGACAATGGAGGCTATTCTGAAACACCTAATCAGAGGGTTATGCGAATAAGGAGCTAAAACTACCTGGTTGAAGGGAGAATGACCAAGGGCAGGCTGACCAGTTACAAATCAATGTAGGAAACCAGTGGGGAGGCCACGGGCTGCAGCAAGAGGAACAGGCATCTCCCTTCTCCAAAGACGGGCTGCAAGGGAAAAGAGCTCAGACTTGATCTTGGTTCCCAATCTTCTGAAAGTGTGAACACTAGGGTTGAGTTTGAGGTCATAGTGGGGCATCCAAGTGAAACCATCTTGTAAACAGTTGTGGGGAACACATTCAAGCCAAATCTGGATACAGTGCAATTGGAAGTTGACTTCTGGATCCACAGAATTCCTGTCAGCTAGCTGCACCGGTTCTTTCCAGTATTTCATTAATCTCTCGGTCATGTGATTGAATTTCTTGGACTCTACTTATAGGATCACTCCCCTTCCAGAAGTTCCTTTAACAGAGAGTTCCAACCAGAACATATAAGTAAAATAATGCTAACTATGGCCTTAATGACTTAAATATTGCAATTTTCAATGAACCTAAAGCCCACCCTAGGAGAATACAGCTTATTGATGTATTTATTACTGTGTACAGGTAGCACGACCTGTTGTTTATTTAACATGGAAAAAACACCCAGTACCAGCACCATACGTGCCTACGTATGTCACCAAATTTTAAATTTAGGCAGTCTCAAACTTTAGTGTCTATTAATCTAGGTTTTCATTTAAAACACAGATTCACTGGTTCTGGTGGAGCCCTGCAATCTGCATTATTAACAGGTGATCCTGTTGCATAAAATGTTCTTTGGAAAAATACTATCTTAACTCTTGGATGTTAGTCAGCTCTCTCAACCAGTGTGCCTGGTCCATTTTAGGTGTACTGTATTGAATCAATGTGTTCCCAGCCCTAACAGCAAGAAAGCACATATTATGACTTCTTGGATACCTACATCTATCAAGCCTTCCACAGACAAGCCGTCATTTGAGTTATCCCACATAAGAGAATATATCGAGTTGCTATACACATGAACTTCACTTGAAGTCAGCCAAGTCTGGGGTGTATCTCTATTTTCTCAACAAGTCATTGACCCCAACCAAGTAAAGTATCTTTATTTTTCTTCATTCTTCCATTTACCACACTAGCATATTATATATATATACTCAGTGACTCAACAGCAGGGAACGTTAAAGATGGAGAAGAAAACATCCTGATCCAATAAAATCCAATGTAAATATGAATGGTATTGTATTCATTTTTTTAAATTTACTACAAATGGGATCTCTAGATCAGAAGCTCCTCCCTACATGATTCTGGGCCTTAAATACTGAGCTAAGTCCTGAATATAATTTTTGAATCCTTGCTGATCTTGACTAGTCCTCTAATACTGTTGTGATGTATTTATTGATTTATTAATTGACTGAATGAATTTTTAGGATAGAAATCTGGCAGTTTATATTAAATGGTATGTGACTTATTATAAATAACTTTCAAAACATTTTTTTTAACCCAGAAACCATCGAAGGCTCCAAATAAACACCTATGTGAAATTTATGGGACTTTCATATGAAGGTTTTGATTTAAAGTTTGTTAATACGAATTAAGAAAACAAATGACTTTGCACATTTTGTCCTAGGCTTCAAAGTGCATTTTCTTTTAAAGGTATATAGTTAACTCTTGGCTTATTCATGTTCTTTTTCTTTCAACCCAAAGCATTTTCATCTGAGATAGTTGTTTACAGATCTCCAAACATATTTTAAAACCTCCAAAACGGATTAATTAAATCGTTTTTACACAGAATTTTGTCGAGACCAATTTAGTCTGCAGAATTACTTATAAAAGATTACAATTGTTAGATTGCTATTTTAGAAGTGAAACTAATACCCAGGTAGTCTCCCACCGGATGGTAACTTTCTGAATACTGAGCAATGTATATACACACAAGGGGATGGAAATTAATCTACACTGTGCATCCTGTGAATGTTTCCAATTCCGTGCCTATTTACGAGCTTAATATGCTCTTAGGCATCTCCTTCTGAGTAGCTACTTTAGATTTTTAGTTGAATCCAGTAACCCATCAAGCAGATAGCAAAATATAGTTTATGAAAATACATGGCTGCTTAGATATATATTCCAGACATGAAAAATCTTATGGTTGCTAAAGAAAATATAATACTCTAAGAGATTTTAAAGTAGTTATTTCCTGAATGTCTTTTTTCTCCAAACATTAGACGAAGTTGCATTGTTTACAAAAATTTATTCATACAAATTTTACACACTTTATATAACAGTTATCAAAGTCCTAGTTATAGATATCATGTGTGTAATAATACTTGGTTAAGATGATTTTATAATCATTGCACACAAAATAAGAGCTTCAAGACTAACATCTACCTAAATTATCACTATATCATAAATCTGCTCCAGGTTAGTAAGGCTCTTGGAAATTCTAAAAAGTATACAAAAGATTAAACTGGGTGATCACTGTAAATGCTTGCAACTAGCCACGGGAACACTAAATTAGGCTTCATAAATAAAAGGTTAACTAGAGCCCTATTTCCTCTAACAGCTAACACAAATACAAAAAACTCTGCCCATTATCCAAGAAACAAATAATTAAGACTAAAATGCAAGCCGATGTGTTGCAGCATTGTAGGGCCACTAAATAGCCATCTGTGATTCGTGGCGATTTAAAAGGCGAAGAAAGGCACTAACGCTGCAAACTGCATCCGTGTCACACTGCCTGAGGAGACTGCAGAATTAGAGAAAGATTGATCCCGCACACAGGACTCAGGCATAGATCGAATGCCTCTGTGCTTTCCCTGTTTGCAATGTGATCTCCTGGCAGCATCCATCCCGCCTGGGAATGCAAATCCAATTCTGTTTTCTTTGATTTATGACTTCATACTGATCAAATCCATAAAGGAAAAGGAAAGGTCCTTTAAACTTTACAAGCTAATGTTTAATCTTTTCTTGTTCTTCTTCCCCCCCCCCCCCTTTTCAAAAGAATTTGTGCCTGAAATTTGGGAGGTTGGCTGGTTTGCCTGTTGTTGTTTGATCTGGTTGCTGGGTGAAAGTTCTTTTGGTTATAGAGATTACTAGACATGTTCAAGGAATTGATAGGAAACAGACAGACATGCTTTCTGTAGCCAAGAAAGGATACAAGGGGGCAGTTCTCAGGGTCTCTTGGGGCTTGCTTACCTCACTCTTGACCACAGATATAAGATAGTACTCATACATATGAAGACGAGGTTTAAATGATTTATCAGTTAGTAAAACTGAGCAACATGTGAACACTACACATTCTAATATGACAAAGGTTGGTTTTATGAAATAAATTTTACTAAGCAATAAGCCATAATGTAGAAAAATACATTTTACCTACAAACTCAATAAACAAGAAACAAAAGGTTCATATTTAGTGCATAATTACTTAGTGATAACTACACAGGACTTCCTAAACTTTACAGTAAGTGCTCGCATCAAACAACAAAAAAAGAAGCATTCACAAGTTTAAGAGAAGTGAATGAAAAATGGTAAACGGTACTTAAACAGTGCAAGAGGGTAGGAAGGAGGGGTCTTCAGAAAACCACAAAGGAAAACAGTGGCTCTTACAGAGCAGGATTCAAAGGGGAGGATCCTGGCCATTTCACAAGATGAGAAGCATGGACAGCACTGGAGAAAAACACATTGTACTTTGCATCCATTTCCAATACCCAGCACCCAAAGTCAATCGGGCAGGGGACCTCCAGTGGGACTTGGCTTGCCCTCAGTGTCCCAGACCTGGGGCAGCCCCAAACCAGGGTCCTCCTCCTACTGCCTTATGCTCTGCCTCGTCCAATATGCCTACATTTCCTTCACTTTGTTCCAATTGCCCTAACCTTGGGATATTGGGTTCCCTGGAAATACAGAAAAGGGAGCTTTCTACCTAAGTCCCCCTTCTCAGTACAATCCCCCCACTCTTCCCCCAGGCAGTGGTGTGAATTCTGGGGAGAAGCATAATTTGGATCGAGCTGTTGTTTTATCAGGAGAATTTTCTTCTGGGCTGAGAGTCTGAAGAGAGACAAATACACATAAAAGTAGAATCAAAGAAAGCAGAAGTATTGGAATTGGCACCCAGTCAGGGAGAGAGTGCCTCGGTGAGTTCGGCTGGGACTCAAGCAGCCTGCCCCCGGAGACTCACCAGGAAAGACCGCCCTTCAGCAATTCTCCCAAATCATCACCTCAAAACCTCCCTGGAGCAGGGCATCATTGTTTATGTACAGTAACAAATGGTCAGTATTAATATCTTCAGGCCTGTCATGGATAAAAATACTATCCTTTTAATTCCAGTTTACAAAAATAGGAGTAATATTCAAAACAATGATTGTCTATTTTTCTATTTATTTTATATAAAAACATAAACAGCTCAGGCAAATTTCCAATCTTGTGCACACTTTGTATGAACTGCTCCCTATTATACTTATATATATATATATTCTTTATATATATTTATTATATATATATATCTCAATAGTTGGTCCACAAAGTATATCTGTGCATTCTCTAGTGCTTTGTAAAAAGAAAAACAATATTATTATCAAAATATTCATTTAATGGCTTTACTTCATACATAAATACACGTTTGGATAGAACACATGAGCGATGACCGTTCAGTCAGTTGGGAAAATGACTTTTCATTGTGTCAGGGCTGTACACACAGGGTAGCTGGTAACGCATCGCTACAAATACGCTATTCGGCGTCCTTTGTTTTTAACCCTTTGTTTATACCTTTTCCCTAGGACGGCCGCCAAGTATTTCTTGACAGCCATTTGTTTCCGGTAGCGGCTGTAGCTGTCCGTGAAGATTCCGTCTGAGTGGCGCTTGGAGAGCGGCTCCGAGTCGTCCTCCGCGCCGCCGCCCAGGTTCCCACTGCAAGGAAAGGGGTCGGGAAGAGGGTGGCGGGGCGGGAGACACCGGCTCAATAGCGGCGGGGAGCAGGCGGGCCCCACCCCGCGCGGGAGCCTTCGGGGAGGGCAGGCCTCTCACTGCCCACCGCGCCGCCCTCCTCTGCCCGAAAGCAGCCCGAGGGTGGGCTTCGATGGAAACCCCTCACTCCGCCCTCCCCACCGAGGATCTCCGGGCTGCAAGTCCTCACCGAAGGGGCCCGGAATGAGGTCTGGGCCAAGGGCACGCGATTTAAGCCTATCCTTTCCCCAAACGCTGCCCTTAGAGAAATGCCCATCCGCGCGCTTGCGCTGGCTTGTCCTCACCGTCCCTCTCGCCCCCCATGAACACAGAAAATAACCAAAGAGCCCTAAGTGCCACGAGGGCTGCGCGCTGGAGTTTACATCGATCCTGCAATTCTAGTCAGACACGAGCACTCCTCCTTCAGCACGCTAAGTTGAAAAACGTGATAATAATATAAGTCGACAGGCTGTAGGCAATATTTTTCATCGCATAAATTATTCATTGCGAAAAATGTAATCTGTTTTCCCATGGGCTTTATTAAAACGTTGCCTTCTGCTGAGAGATGCTCCACGAAAGCCCTGTGCTCTGGGTTTGTCTGGCACGAGAAAAAACTGTTTCCCTAACTGTCCGAATTTGAGGATTTGTTTGTTTCGATTTGAATTTACAGGAAAAGAAATGTAAAAGCAAAAACAAAAAGTCAAGCTTAGAGGAAATTATAGCAAGTCGTCCCGCGAAGCTTGAAGGTTTTGAATGAATGAGGGGTTTGTTTGGTTTCTCTTTTTTTTATTCAAAACGGCTCAAACTCCCCAGTCTTGCTACCCTGGCCTGTTCTCTCCCGGACCCGCGCTGTCTCGCCCAACTTAAGGAGCAACCTCAGACCTCTCGCTGGGGCTGGCCGGGCCCCGCAGCCCCCGCGGCGGCGCAGACGCGCCCTCCGCCCCACGTGCGCGCGCGGACGCAGCAGCCAGGCCGCCCGCTCCGGGCGCACGCTCGCCGTCACGCGCCCGTTAACTCTTTCGCAAACTCTTACCCCAGGCTCTTGGCCACGAGCGTCTGCAGGTATTTCCTGGCGGACAGCTGGTCCAGCACTTTGCGGTACGCCTTGTTAAGGATCCCATGGGCGACATCTCTAACAGGGAGGCAAAGTGCGCGCCCAAGGTCACTGACTCTGTCCCCAAGTGGCCTCCCCAGGTCCCCCGCTGGGCACGCACGCCCCTCGGGGCTCCGGGAGGCTGACGGGGAAACCCCTAGAGTCACTGAACTCGCGAATAACTCCCTTGGGATGTTCCCGTGAGCGAATGGCAGGACCGGGAGTTCCTCCTGCCCTCCGGATATGGCAGGTCTGCGCCCCGGCCGGGGAGCGCGATCACTGCCACTCCTTGGGCCACAGACCTTTCGGTCACCACGCAGCCCTCGTGTCCACACAGACCGGCCTGCTTTCTGTCGCTCTCGTGGGAACCAGCCAGGGATAAAAGAGACTTGAGGGCTTTTATGAAAAAGAACCTGCTCGGTGGGCCACCCCCCACCCCGCCCCTCCCACCACCTCGGTCCCGGGCGGAGGTACCTCCTCTCCGCGGGGTAGTAGAGCGCGGAGGCGGGGCTCCCCGCGCCTGGCGGCTCCGGGTCGTAGAAGTCCAGAAGCGGGTTTCCGTCCTCGTCGTACGCCTCGTCCTCTGGCCTGCCGGGGTAGCGGGGGCAGAGGGAGTGGTCAGTACCAGTCCCTCCCGGGCTCTACAAGGACCCAGAGGAGGGGGCTCGCACTGATTTTCCTTCTTCCTAAAGGTTCCCCCGGAGAACTACCTCTTCTTGAGGGACAGGGATGGGGGTAGAGGTAAGGAGGAGAAAACTACGCCCAACAGAAATTCACACCTCGCGAGGCGGCTCTCCTGCCCCTCTTCCCGCGGGGAAGGAGTCGCCCTGCAGGGTCGCGGCCCCAGCGAGCACCGGGAAGCCGAGGCGTCTCTGCCGACCTCGCGCACCTGGCCACCGAAAGGGCCCGCCCCCGTCCGGCCTGGCGCCAGAGCGTCCCCCCCCCCCCACCCACCACCACCAAAGCAGCAACGGGCGGGGACGAGAAAAAGGCCCTAGGAGAGGAGACGCTGGCCAACGCGATGACCGTAGGGGGGAGGCCCAGAACCAAACAGAGAGAGTGGGTGGGCGGGGTGTGCGGTGGCCGACTCCGGCAGCCACCCCCACCCAGCTTCCGAGCCCAGGGGAGCCCTTCCCTGCGTAGATGTAGGTCACGGAGAACCTCCGGCTTCTATTTTGGGCGGGAGAGGATCTGGCAGGAACATGAATAATAGATGCCCCTAAACTTAGCCCGTTCGGCGGCGGCTCATTCTGTGGTGTGTCCGCGCCCTCCGGTGCCTCTCGCCCGGGGAAAGTGCCAGGCACTTGAGACTTTGAAAATAGCTGGGGGTGAAATAGGGCTTTTAAGTCCACTAAATAAATAGTTCGCACTGATGTGTTAGACATGGCGGGGCGTCGGGACCACATCTCAACCCTGGGACTCAGGGAAAGGGTCAACAGGGGACCGAGAGCCAGCAGGAGCGCAGCGGTCTCGCAGTCGCCCTTGCCTACCGCCTCTATCCTTGATATAAGACGGGGAGAGGTGGGTTAAAACACAAAAAAAAAAAACCTCGCTATGGGCTACTGGAGAGACTCGGAAAGCGGCCAGTGCAAGCAGCGATCTCTAGGAGGGTTAGAGTCACACTTCGTTTCGCCACTCGCCTTTCCCCCTCCCTGAGGAGGTAAGAGAAAGGCAAGCACATCCCTCGCCCACCCCGCGCCCAGCCTTTTTCCTGGGCGACGCGCCTCTGCCCTGGCCAGGCTGCCTGGATTCCCCGGGTCTTTCTGACTACTTCCATCCTGCCCCGTGCCCAGATGCTGGAATCTAATACTGAAGCCAGAACCCATCCCTCCGGCCAAATCAATGGTCAGCAGCCCCAAAGGCGAACGTTCTTGGGCGCGGCTGGGAGGAGCAGCTTTTCGCGCAGAACGCGCGCTCCTGGCTGCCGGGAGTCTGGGACACCGCGGGGCGCGGACGCCGTGCGGCAAAGCGAGCTTCCACTCTCCGGCTGACCCGCCGGGACTCGGGGGCTGCGGCAGGGAACCCGGGCAGCACCGACCGATTAGCAATCAAGGATTAAGGAAAAAGCCAGGGTTACTCCAGCCTGGGACGGGCAGGGCTGTTCTCCTAGTCCTGCCTGCCTGCTTGCTTTCTCTCCCTCTCTCCTTGCATCCGTTTCATCTCTTCTTCCCCTTCCCTTTCAACCTCATTCTTGTTCTTCCTTCTCTCAAATCGCTTTTCCTCAACCGTACCTGGCCAGCACTCCTCCTCCCCTAGACAGTCTGAGCCCCAAAATGCAGTTGGAAAACGTATCACTTGAGAGAAAGCTCTTCAGGGGAAAGAATTCGAATTGAGGTGAGGAGAGTGGAAGAGAGAGTGGGAGACCCCGTCCGGACAGTCCAGAACGAGCTGTAACAAAGCAAAGTCCACGGGAGCTTCATGCTCAGCCCCCAGGCAGGCTCCGGGAGCCGAAGTTCTCCTAACTCAAGCTAAGAATAGGGAGAAGTCAAACTCGGGCCCTGCCCTGCGCCCCTCCCGCGGGCGGGGCTGGGGAGGGGAGGTTTCCCAGCCCGCTGAAGCGCGCTGGCTCCTCCCGGGCCCCTGGGCTGCCTCGGGCTGGGGGAGGGGCGCCGAGCCGCCGCGGAGCTGCCAGGGCCAGGGACCCGCGGCCGGACCCCGGCTGGTGGCGGCGCACTGGGGGCGCGTGGGGAGATGGTCGTAGCTGGAACTGAGGAACCGCAGGAGGGCGACCACGAGGAGGTGTCCGGGGAAGGGAAGCCCCGGCCTCAGCTCAGCCCGGGCGGCCAGAACCTACCTGATCCCGGGGAACCGGAGTCCAGCGGCGGCAGGTGAGCAGTAGACGCTGCTGTGCATTATTATCCCGTAGAGCAGCAGGGCCAGCCTCGCTCCGCTACACATGGTCATTCTGCGCAGGTCGGGAAAGAGGGCACCCAGCCGTCAGAACGCCCCTGGCCTTCCACGCTCCAACCCCAAGGAACTCCCTAGCTGGGGGAGGGACTGAGCGAGCTGTGGCTCCCTGTGTCGAATACCACTTAATGACAGCCCGCGCGCGCGCCGCCACTTCCCTCTCTCTATAGTTAGAAAAGATATACATGGATACACCCAGTGCCCAGTAACCCGCCAGACCTGGTGCGAAGGAAAGCTAACTCGTACCCTGATGCCGGCGAAAGAATAGGCAGTCAAGTGAGTCTTTTGGTTTGCTAAGATTATTTTTCCCCTCTCCATTCTTACCAACTCTTACCGCTGCTAGGAGAGGTTTTGCTGCCAAGTAGGACGGCGGGCAAAGGGCTTCTCCAAGTTTCTTCGCCGGAGTCACAACCCAAAAGGCATCACCGTCTGGCGTTAGCGTCTGAGGAGAAGCCGCAGGAACGAGCAGGAGCAGCAGGAGGAGCTGGAGGACTTGTTTGCCGAGGCCGATATTCTGTTCAAAAGTTTGTCGACGCACAGAAGTAGGAGGCAGCGTGACACCGAGAGAAAGGGGTGAGGAGAGAGATGTAGAAGGAAGAAAGAGGAGGCGACCAGCTAAAGGGGGGGTGGGGGACAAAGTGGCCGTAAGTCCACTGGGAGAAAGAAGTAAGTGATTAAGGAAAAGAGGGAAAGTCGAAGACGGAGGGGAAGGAAAAAGAGGGCCTCGGGCAGCCGGCGTCTGTGGGAGCCGCCCCGGTCAGGCAGCTGCGCGAGTCGGCAGCGCCTTCTCTGCTCTGAGATCCCTCTGGCTGCGTCTGAAGCTGCGGCTTCTTCAGCTGCTGCCGGTGGTTACAGAGGTGACCGGCCCTCTGCTCCTATTTATATGTGCAGTTAGCAGAAATCTATCCGAACATGGTTTTAGAAGAGCCTTCCTTATCAACATCTGTCTGCCTGCGGCCTTTAAGTACAGAATATTTTGTTGCACTGTTGCGCTCCGATTTTTATTCATGGAATGACTTCCCCCTTTTTTTTTTTTTTTCAGTCACGTAATGATCGGGTATCAGAAAAAGACGTCAGCATCCTAGTCCCTCAAGGAACATATTAACTATTCTGTGCTGTCCTCTTGGATGATAAGATCCGGAGTCATCGACTTCTCATAAACACCTTTCACTCATACAATCCAGTTTTTAAGAAGTCCAATTATTTTGATGGTTTTCAGTTTTACCCATTTCTCAAGCATGGGTATAGAACTCATAGAATTTGGAGGATGGTAAAAGTCATGTTTTTAACTATGTCCCTACTATTTCTCTTTGCTTTTCATCAAGCCCCAGCAATCTGAGCTCTGGTCTCTGGAATTAAGCACCAAGCTCTCCTATTAATAAATTTAATTTAGATCTCCTAATTTCTTGCGTATGTTCTTTCAGATAGACAATTAAATGTGGAAGTCGTTTTGTTCTTAAAGGGAAGTCTTGGAGGATTTTCAGTAAATCGCTAATGAGTCTGGCTGTCGTTGACAGTCTGGCTACGAGTAGATTGATGAGAGTTAAAGCTGGTCCGGAGCGCGGCCTGTGGAGCTGTTCAGACTCTGAGTGCTGAACTGTTTGGTCGCAGATGCTACAAGACATCGAAAATTGCCACTGGTTTAATTTTTCACCAGAGCCTCTAAATCTGAAGATTTGGCAGTGGTTCCATTAATGTAGCGATTCACTGTCCAAGTCACCCCGCTATTCAGATACACTCCCCCCTCGCAGTGTCCATGAATGCCCTTAATGCTGAGAGCAGTCTGACCCCTGCCTAGATTGAAGTAAAGAGCATTCTATATCTCCCATCAGTCCTGATCTTTGGATGCCCAGATGGCCTGTTTGGACACCTTCACACTTTCTCTGGCTCTTACTGATTTCAAAACTGAAATTGTAAAATTCTATTTTCCATGAAAATTGAAATTTTAAGAATTTTGGAGAGAAAAATGTTTTCCCCTTTATTTACAACTAGGGGGTGGGGAGGGAGGGGAATACAGACAGACTGGGAAAGCCCGACGGTTCCCAGTACAAGTTCACTTGCTGAGGGTTCCTAACAGGAATCCCTCCTTTGGGAATGGTTAATTTTTTTTAACTGAAAATGACGTGGGAAGAGGAAAGCAATAAGGGAAGACCACATCCATCCGGAGGCTTCCAAGTCCCTGGGTAATTTGAGAAGATTCGTAAATTTCTACTCCAGTAAGAGAACTTGGGTCTATTTCTCTTGAAAAGGAAATAGAGCCATCAATAACCATTAATGTGCATTTTAATTATTTGGATCTTAAACAAAAATTAGAGGAAATGGCAATTTTGTGGGAGTGTTTCCTGTTACTATGATTTGGATCTAACATTTAAATAAGCCATATTAGTTCCTCATGCTTTTCCTAAGACAAAATTATGATTCTCATTTTCAATGCCTTTCCCGCTCTATTATTTGAGATTTAATACTTCCTCCAAGAAGACAAAGTTTTGCTTATTCCTGGCCATGAATGGCCAGAAACTGCCCACTTCCTCTTAGTTTGTTCCTGGGGACTCTCCTGATAGCCTGCCTGTAATAAAGCTTCAAACCACATCTACATCTGTGGGGATGTATCTCTTTGTCTCCACTGCATATGTTCGCTGATTTATGCTGGAGTTTTACATGAGTGTGTTTCTCCGGAGTAAGCTCGCACACAAAGAGCCCTTGGTGAACACGACTGGATTATCAAGCAGAGACGTCTTTCTTACTAAAGCGCCCAAAGCTATGCCCGAGTGTGGCATTCCTGTCTTCCGCCTTGCTTCACGTCAAAGGTGAACCCGATTAAAATCCTTACTCTTTCCTCCAACGCGAATTCTGAAATGAGTTCAACCTGCAAAAATATTTGAAAATTTCCGAGACTCCTTGTACAAATTCACTACTCAACTTTAGTAAAGGGAGCCACCATGTGGGGAATTTGTTGACTTCACGGTCTATTAAAAGGGGAAAACCACAAACACCATTAACTTTGTGGGGAGGAAGAAGGCACTCCCGGCCCCACGGCCCCGCAGGGCTCGGAAATGCGCCTCCGGCTGACAAAGGCGGGGCCGCTTCCACTCTTCCCGGCTTACACACTCTCAGCGCGGAACTCCAAAATTACTCCGGCGCTCCAAAATTACTGGCCTCGAGGCCTGAACCCATTCACTGAAGTGAAAGACTAAGCAGAGAATTTAATTTGAGATTCTTGGTCGCTGAACTCCAGACAATCAAGCTTCCGAGTCACATCCGTTGCTCAGCACAATCTAAAGACCCGCCCAGCCCCGACCCACAGCTGCCTAGAGGAGTCGAACCCCGGACGGGATCCAGGATCATCTGGCAGATCTTTCGTGCCACTGACCCTCTCTGATTAGGCGCTTTTGGCGTCCTGTGCCACGGAAGCTTTCCTATTCTCGAAAGTTCTGGCGATTGGCCCCTGGGCCAGGAAATGCCAGGCAGGCTGAGGAACCAGAACCTAAGGACTGGGCCCGAGATCTGCGAAAGTCTGAGGCCGCACCCCTGCCTAGCCAAATCCTCCTGCGTGAGCGCAGGCCCTTTCTGCTTTCCATTGGATGGAGGGGGATATGGGGCGACCGATGTCTCAAAGACCAAAACTTCCCCCAAGTGCCCCCGAGAGTGATCATTTGCTTCTGATCTCAAGAGCGTTCTCCCTCGAGCGTTAACGTGCGTCTGGGAGCTTTGGGGAGCGGCGAGGAGGAGGGCCGCATCAGGCGGAAAGGCCCGGCTGCAAAGGCCCGGAGCCACCCCGAATCCACTGACCAGGTGTCTCGGCAGGGCCGCATAGGGAGCCGCGGCCGGTAGAGGCTTGTTCGCTACAAACGCAGACTCCAACCTAACTTAAAGCGAGGGGACTGGCCCTGGGCCGAGGATCAGAAGGACCCTGAACCAATGAGCCCTTTGTGGGAGAAGGGAGTAAAGGAGGTGAAGAGAGAAGAGAATTGGTCTGGGGCAGGGTAGGGAGTAGAGCCTTCCAATTTTATTTTCTTCTTACCTGCTTTCTCTCCCAAAGGGATTTTTACATCCTCCTAAAGTGATGGAGGTTAAGAGGGAGAGAGAACCGCTCAGATCTCCCATACGTAGTTGAAAATAACGTGGGAAGAACAGGGAGGGGACGAAGCCGGGGATCAAGCGTTAGAACTTCCTATTTACAGGTAACGCAAAGGAATTTCACGTCTTCCAACAGCCCAGCCCTTCCCTCCAAAGTTCGACAGACGACGTAGAAGAGTTCCCAGGCAGCGAAGCTCCCTTCCAGGCTACGGAAGCGAAAAATGGCATGTAACTGAAATCACGTCCAGTTAGAAAAGCCAGTGAAACTAGGGACATCTTCAGAATAGAAGGTCTTACCTGTGTCCTCTGTGAGGCGGAGACGGAAGGTGTCAGTCTCCGGCTAAGCCGTGACCTACCCAGAAGAGGCTGTTTGGAAATGTTTGTTGGAAATAATAAAAGACTCTGAATTTCAAGTCCCTAATGTATCAACTCCTTTTTATCCCGTCTGTCCTTAAGATATGAAAACATAACTTTTGGTCCGAAGTGATGAATGCTAGCTACAGATGAAACCAACACTTCCCTGAATTGTTTTTCCTGGTCACTGAAGCATCAGCCTTCTTTGAAGTTTCAAGCCTTGAACCCTCAATCAACACTCAATTTAAAGAACTCTTTGGCCCTTGAAAAATTGGATTTTTAAGTCAAACAGGAGGAATATGTCTAGTATATTTACTGAGAGTTTGAATTTGCAGATGGCTTCGCAACATTAGCAAATACCTGGCATAGGCAAGACTCAGTTCCCTAGGGGAAGGAGATTCCACTACTTTCCTTCTGGCCTCTACGCATTCTACACAAGCGTTCACTTTTCCTTTCTTTGGCCATGTAGCTCTCCCCATTGCCCTGTACCACCACCGTCCCCAGCCCCTACCCCCAACAATTTTTTTACCTTACCAAAGGACACATTTGCACACAGCATCTTCATACATTCCTGGTATAAATAATGCCAAATCACATTGGAAAAATCTTATCTTCTCATCTTATTCATTTCTAGTCAATACTTAGCGTAAGAACCAGGCCACAGTAAGCTTTTTCAGTGAACAAGCTTGATGCAAAATATCATCCTCTCGTATGAGTAACAAAAGTAAATTACAACCCTGTATTCAATTTGACTCTAAACTTTTTCTCTTCTGAGTCTTCCAGAAAATGCAATGACTAATGACTCACTTCATACCGATTACACCTGTAGGGAAACCCAAATGTTCTTCAGAACATCATGACCATCACTTACTGGACTGCCTGCATCATGCCCTTCTGAACTCACTATGAAGTAAGGAGCTGATGAGTTTACCCATAATGTATCATGACTCCTCTGACCTTCAGAATTTAGTGCTTCACACACTCTGAAAACAACCAGCAAAAGAAGCCTTTCCAAACCACATGAGCAAACACATCACTCTCTAATTCAAGAACAGAAGTACATGTTCACAGGGCCAAGAAATTTTGCCCGTTGTTTCAAGACAAAGCAGACACTCAAGAAGCAAAAACTAGGATCTAACTTTTGCTGCAGGTTTGGGTGATTTCAACTCTCTCACATATATGGCTCTTCTAAGGCCTTCTTCTCTGAACATTAGTTTACTGGGTACAAAAATATATATCCCAGACTTCATGTGCAGCATCTACCAAAATCTCCTGAGATTTCCAGAATATGTCCTCTTAAAAGCCAAGGAGAAGAAAGTTTTCTCTCTACTTCAGTCTAAATCCTCTGCTCATATAAGGCTTAAATACAGGAAGAAAAGCTTGGAGAGGACCCAGGAAACCCAACATCCTAAATGAGTTTTTACGACAGCTCCTGAAAACTTTAGAAGATCTGTGTGCAAAATAAAACATGGTTTTTATGAGTAAATGAAAAAAGGGTATTACTCTGTGAGTTCATAGCATCCCAAACCTCTGTCCTCTAGGTTCAGACTCAGCTTTATCTGTGAATATAGGTCTATTTGTAATAATTTTGGAGCCTTTGTGTTTCATTATCCTTACTACCAGCACTTTGTAGTAATAATGATAACTCTGCAAATACTTTTTAACTAATCTTTCTCTCCACACAAATATACACAAGCATGATTTAAAAAAAAAAAAAAAAAAAAAAAGCTAGCATCTGCTTGGAATACAGTTACATTTCCCCTGAGTTTACTATTTGAAAACTTCACTTATTATTTCTTTAAATTCTTTTAAATTCTTCCTTCCAGTGGGGCTGCATGATTTTGCTACTCACCGGTTAATAACAGCAGTAACAACAGCGATAACAATTCTTCACTGAAAACTTAAACTTTGCTAAATACTTCACTAGAGTTTTTTCCTTTACCTACAAACAGTCTTCTTTCCAGGTACTAT